ACATATGAATGAAAGCCGATACCCACTCGACAACCACGTTCGTTCCAATTCGTATTAGAATAAAGATTTTGCATACAACTTCTTGTCTGGAACGCTTCCATCTTAAGGTATACTTCGTTATAACGTAATGCAGTTCAGACTTCAGCTCTGACGGTCCATTAATCAGCAGAGATCTGTGTGCTTATCATAGTAAGATTTATTACAGTTACATGAATATCCGTGAGGAGGCTGAAAGGAATCTTACAAGCGTGAGATGAAGAGGAAAGTTCTTTTGGTTTCTGTCTTTTTATTTAAGCCTTTCCCTCACTAAACACTGAGGTGTATAGATGATCAGATTGCCCGTGGCAAGGCAACCTAGACGGCCATATACATCCGCGGTGTCTGCCCGCCACGGCAAACAAGTTATACAGAAATTATATCAAGTACATTGCTTTGATGTTGCGTGAAATATCTCATACATACAAAGGAATAAGCGTCTAAACAATCTCTGATAGGTTCGTTGTCCTCTAATGGGAAGTAAAACCTTGGAGCAAGAAAGATCATTTTGCAGTGTAAAGAGATTCCAGTGTTTTGATCCCGCTGCAGAAGGAGGATTTCTGGGCGGAATAAATGGAATATTGTATAGGTGAAAAAGGTAAAGCTTCTCCCTGTAACAGGCCGCGAAGGCCCATAGGGGTGTAAGACGTCGAGGTTCCCACATTTTCTAGACAATCGGCTCACAGATGGAGGTAAGGTTGTCAGCCTTAAGCGCCTGCCGCCCTTACCCCTAGGAAGATTCCTGGTACTCATTTCTGTTAGAGGCTGATTTGATCCCAGGCCATAGTGCGGGTGTAAGGATTAGGTGAATTTAAGATTTCAATGATTTTATCGGAGATAAATTTCTGGTTGTTAAAGAGAGAATGAAGTTGCTGGTATTGCGGACTGCTATTTTGGGACATGTGGTAGCGTAGTTTCTTGAGACAGTGTGTTACGAACCGGAAGGTCGCACGTTCAATTCCCGATTAATTCATCTACCCTGAATACTACTAACATTAATTTCAACCTCTACGTATGGAATATAGGGAGTCTGTACAGGGCAGGTTCACCGACAACAGCTGCAAGAGAAACAGTCAACGGTAAGTTAATTTTAGTAGGAGTAAATAAATGCAGATAAGGCACAAATGGAACTGAATTATTTCTTATGGAAGTTGGAATTATAATGAATTATTAGAGAAAGAGGATGGGGTGGTATTGAATGGATTGATCTGGCTCAGGATAGCAGTCAGTGGTTGGCTCTTCTGAATACGGTAATATACATTTGGGTTCCATAAAAATATTGAGAAATTACTGAGTAGTGAGTAGCTGAACTATTAACGTCTTCTCAAGAACTCAGCTACACAGATTTACTTAGTTTGTTATCCTATATATATTTCTCTTCTTTCCAGATTTTCCTACTAAGATTTCTTACGCATTACTTGTATCTTCCATTGTGTGGAAGCTCAGCTTCTCTCGTCCGCTTTGATCACCCTAATACACGTATTTTTGACGCATATTTCCGTTATGAAATTTTCCCAAACTTCTTATTATTTGCTGACTTTTAGATCCGAATTTTCTCCTCGTCACGTGCATTTTCATACATCCCAAATCTGTATTCTTCATTTGGATAAGAGACAAGTTTCATAACCATCGGAACAAGAGTATATACAGGGTTATTCATAAGTCCGTGAAACATTTTTTTTAAATTCAAAACAAATAAACTATGCATCGGATCATGGTAATTCTTACGCCGATAGAGAATGAATCTCTCCAAGTTTTCTTTAAACCGTCCATTGCCTGCTAATCCCATGGATCTTCGCAACCGTATCACCGCTGCTGTGGCTCTGATCAACCGTGATATGCTGACATGGGTGTGGGACGAAATGGATTATCGCATAGATGTCTGCCGTATCAGCAAAGGTGGACACATTGAGCATCTGCGAACTATGTAGAGACAACTTTGTGAGTTTATCTCTATTTCAGTGTAATAAAATTTGGTATCTGTTTCGTAGCGCTGACCACTCGACACCATCTGTCCGCGGAAGTTGGTACTAAACTTCGCCGACGGGCGGCGATCGCTCGGTCGGTGTGGTTCACTTGCGGACTGAAAACACGGAGTTTGTTTGTTTGATCCGTTGCGTAGTTTATTTATTGTAAGTTTCAAAATGTTTCACGTACTTATGAATAATTCTGTATTAGATTCTAAAGGGTTCTGACGATGATGTATAACACTCAGAATTACGAAGGTTTTTGGATTTTGTCCATCGTCCGATATTCTAGAAACTAGCAAACACAGCGTTTCGGAAACTGGATCTGTTTCATGGACCAGGTCCAGTGAATGAGATCAACTCTATCAAAGGGACCCAGCTGGGTAGGTGAATTCCCCCATCTCACTTGAGGACGGAAACAGATCCATTTTCCGAAACATAATGTTTTCTAGATTCTAGAGTACCGGACAATGGACAAAGTTCAAAAGCCCAGTAATTCCAGGAGTCTATATTGTTTTGTGATTATCGTAAAGGCATCTTAGCAAAACACCTGATGGTTATGACGACGGAAAATACGAGAGCGAGGAAATTTGGTAAGTATGAAATGTAACATTCATCTCTGAAACCAGAAAGTGTGCTCAGGGAAAAGAAGAAAGCAGAGAAAGTTTAAATTGTCACTCTACACGTATTACCTACGCAATAAAAACACACGTTACATTGTGTAAGATTTGAGGTTTTCACGGCGGAGACTATGAAGAAAGCAGTCTTCCGGGATGTGACACAGTGTAGATGTGGTGCTAACCAACATTTCGGAGAAAACTATTGCCTGTATCTTCAGGGTAGAAGGAAAAATAAGAAATCCGCAAGCGAAGAGACCGTGAGTACTGGTACAAGCAGACTGCTTTTACAGGTTAACACCACGTCTACACGGTGCCACATCCCAGAAGACTGCTTTCTGCACACGTTATATTGGCTTGCAAATGCTGATATTTCATAATGAACTACACAGCCCTAGTTCTAACAATTAACTGGGTAGAATTGAAGAAAGTCAATGTAATTTCTGAACACCCGAGGGGCCCCCAATCACACGCCACCTGGTTACGAAAAGGAAGAGGAGCTGTAACAGCTCATTGTGAAGTCTGCTTACGTAAGGTCTTTCGTTCGAGACAGGTATGCATGAGAGACTTCAGTAATTTCCCAAGAAGGCCACTGCTTCTCAATTCATTGATCCGAAAATACAATTCAGTTTAGTGGCCCCAAGCAGCTCATCTGCACTACGTCATAAATGCAGCGCGTGAATGTGACATGATCTTAATATTAAAATTGGAGAAATTTATTATTTTGATTGGCATCATAATTAGTGAACCCAGAAAAAAGTATTCACACGTAATATATTTACAGGAGTCTGGATAGCTCAGTCGGTATAGCGACGGCCCATTGGCTGGATGATCAGCGTTCGATTCCCAGCTTTGCAAATTTTTTCTCTTCTCCACAGCGGGAACGTAAAGCAGACCACTTACCTTCATCTAATGCCGATTTTAAGAAAAGTGGGGCAATACGTCCACTCCCCCATACGTCTTCATAGCACAGTGCTCAAGTAATTGAGCACAGGGACAACATCTAATATAGTTATAGATTTTAAGTAGATGCGGTAGCGTATTTTGCTGAGGCACTACGCTACAAGTCAGAAGGTCAGGGGTTCGATTCTCTATAAGATCACTGGATTGACCTAATCCTTCCAGCCTCACTATGTCACTGGTGTCGACTCAGCCTCTAACAGATGTGATTGCCAGGAATCTTCCTGAGGGGTAAAGAGCAGCTGGCGCGTAAGGCTGATGAACTTACAACCATCTGTCGGACGATAGTTTAGAAACTGTGGGAGCCTCGACGCCTCACAAACCTACGGGCTTCCATGGCCTGTTACAGGATATTTTTACATTTTTATTTTACATATTATTTACCAATTTATTTACGGATTATATAACGGTTCTGTGAATATCGCAGGCTACACAACTTCACATTTCAGGATCATTTATGAAGACTGAAATAGAAAGCAGGCGAAATTAAGTGTTATTGTTATAATTCGAAGTTTAATTCCTTTAATTGACTCAGCGGATCCTGGAAAACCACGAAACACCTCAGAGAACAAGATCGGGATATCGGCTGAAATAATAAAGTGGCACCCTCCCCTATTTTATGCCAAATTTCTCGGTTCAGAAATATAAATATATATATTTTTTATTGCTAGTGGGGTGGGACTATGTCCCTTGTACTGCGGCCACTTCTGGCCTATTGTACCAGCCCCAGATGATAGGTGAGGGTGATTGTGGAGCAATTGGTGGAATGAAGATTGGCAGGGGAAACCGAAGTACTCGGAGAAAAACCGCCCCAGCGCCACTTCGTCCACCACAAATCCCACTTGACCAGACCTCGGTATCGAACCCTGGCCGCCGCGGTGGAAAGCCAGCGACTAACCGCTTGAGCTATGGCGCGTCCAAAAGAAATATAACTACCTGATTAGGGGAGGAACAATTACGGAAATATTCTTTCAAGTGTTCGCTTCAGAAATTGCTGCTACCAAGTCTGCCTTCCAGAGCAGAGGAGATGCAGACACAATTACAGGACTGTTTACCAGATATTGGGTATTGGGCGAGAACTGGTCTCTTACTAAAATTAGAAATCCCTGTAGCTGATACTGTCACGAGAGCATTAAATTGATAAATGCTGAAATACTTAGGAGAACAGTTTAGAATTTTATTTAATGGAGAGTTCCTCATATTTTTTTCTCTTATCTTTCTCAGGATAATGAACTCAAGGACGATACGAAGGGATGAGGAGTCCACGAATGTAAACAGAATTTTCGTGAAGACACTTGTTGTAAAATGTATACTTGAAAAATCCAGAAGGTGGAAAATAAGGTGCTGAGCCATTCTGTTCGTATTGCTCCTTAAATTTACAACTATTTTATCTGTTGTACAAATATATTTCCGTCTTAAATGCAACTAATTACCACTCATCCTTCTTCCTCCCGTATAAATACAACTAATACACAACAATATGTCCCTTACATATTGTAGACAACATTGCATCTCCCTCCTTACAAACTGCACAAATAGTACGCGTAAGTACAACTATAAACAACTCTCGAAACTTATTATGACATGACGCCTGGAAGTTGGTATAGTGAAGCCAGTGCAGGCGTCCATTGCTACGCAAAGGCTCAAAACACATTCCAGCGTCAACGAATACGTAAGCAAAAATCAAAGATGTGTCGTCTCTATGCAACGGCGAAGGAGATACGCCTCTATAAAAATAGAGGAAATTTTAGGAAACGGTGTTCTCTGTTGGGTCCGCCCCTAGGGCATATAACGAGAAGAAAGGAAGTCTCTTGAGTTGGCAGTTGGAGATGCTGGAGAAGAGAAGACATAGTGTGTCATTTAGTGGTTTGTGAAGTTTAGCAACAAGTTGTATAAGTGTGCAATAAATGAGGTCATCAATCCAAATGCCGTCTATAAGACACGCACACCCTAAAGACGTTGCATATAAAACTAACGATAAAATGATATAACAAACATATTGATTACAGCTTACAAATATTACCCACCAACGCAAAGAGAACGTAACACGAATCCAGAAACGAGAAATATTCTCAAGCAAATATCTTTTAAATGAATAGACGATGACCATAATGCAGTTAACATTAAGATGTTAATTAATTTCAGTTTTAATTCTAAGCTTAAGTCATTCTGATTAGGAAATATCGCGATCACAGGCAGTAAATAACTGACATACAGTGCAACAATTACTGCAAAATAGACAACACCTGATGATGGCTGTATACAGCCGAAACATGTAGTGAGGAAGAAGATTGACCAGATAATAAGTTGCGTTGAAGGCGGAAATATATGTGTGCAAATGACATATTAATGCATCAGGAAGCGTCAATACAATATTAACTTCTTTACCGTTAGAGAGGAATGCACCTAACGCACAGAAGTCCAGACGACGTAAAATCACTTCAAGCGGGGGTAAAATTATCCCTGTATTTAATTACTTCATTAAACACTGTGCCATGAAGACGTACGGAGCAGTGCAGCTCCACCCTTCTTGACTTCGGCACTAGGTGGAAGGGAGTGGTCAGATTCATGACCTTGACGCTTTACCACCGGAAAAACAACCCCCTGTACCCATTACATACGAGGTTCGATGGGCCCCAAAGGAGGTCTAGACGTTATGGAGAACAGACAATATTTCCCTTGCCGGAAATCGAAACCAAACCGTCCAGCATGTAGCCTAGCCGCTATATTGACCAAGTTTACGTGTCTAGTAATCACATGAATGCATTTAGGGTCGCGAATACAAGAGAACGATTACCTTGAATAACAAATTAACGAGTTGAATGCAGTAACTCTTGTATATATCAGCACACTGTGTTTTAATGTAGAAGTATTTGCCATTACGAAACATGTATTAGAGCATATCAAATATTACTGTCACGATTTATGGATGTGACTATGGATCTGGTATATATTGGTGAATGGATTTATTGACCACCTATACACAGCACTCGGAACTATAAGTAATTACAGTGCTATGGCTAATCTCCACGCTTTACACATCTTTATCACATGCTAAGTCTTCTCAGTCTTCACTAGACGTTTTCTGACAACGGCTTCCAACCTTGCACTTTATTCATCTTCCCGCTCTCATATCCTCTTCCCACAGCCCCCCGTGCAGAACTCAACCCAACGCATTCAACTATAAAATAATCTCTTCTCAGCCTCCCTTGCTGATATCAATTCAATTGCTATCCCTTAAATGTCCGGATTACCCCAGTTGATTTCTTTATAACTCCTAGGCACGGACAATATCGAAAACAAAATTATTCTATATTTGCCTGCATGTTCGTTTCTGCTGGAACTTATTTACCGGGCCGTTGCTCAGAAACTGCTGTTTGTTTATTTACTTATTGTATATCAGTGGCTGAATATGTTATTTTCCTTGAGGTCTTTGTCTAGCAACGGGTCCCTAAGCCACATTAAGTTCGTATGAAAACAAAATCAAAACAATTAAAGGAAGTCCTTTAATGTTTCGTAGGGGCATACATTTCAGTGTTTATTCTTATATTCCCCTTAAGTTCCAGCCTTTTGAAAAGAGACAAGTGGATCTCTGGGATGAATATTTCTTCATAATTTACGTTAAAATATGATCCTTAGAAAAGCAACTACGAGCGATACACTAAACACACCTTCATGTGTCATGGTCTTTTCTGAAACTCTCCACACAATCGTTCTACTGGGACTATTAGATTTTCAGAGTTTGAGATGGCTGTCTAAATCATCATATCTGGAGCTCCAGTTTATAAATTTCTTGCAGACAGACATAACGTGTGATCTAAGATGAAAAGAAACTGTACACATCTACAAAAATATTCACTCTTTACAAGGCAAGGGGAAGTTCACATTCAAAGATATATAATCTGATTCAATATCGCGTTATGTATATTGTCAACATAATCATAAGGTAGACTAATGAAAGTTAAAATATGCGACTGACAAGGAAGAAGAGGCACCCCGAGAAATGTCAATTCGTCTTTGAGTGTCCTCCCAAGATACCAATCATCTCAGCAATGCAGATCTCTGCCGTCCCTGCCTGAGTTCAACGTCAATATATCATATAAAGGGCACATATACGGATGTAGTGTTCACGTCACGAAACTGCCTTACTGCGCAAGCGTCCGACAGATCACATGCACAGTAATACTTAGCGCAGGCGCAACTGTCTGTATCGTGTAGCAACTCACAAACACCGTTTAGTTAAACAGATTGCCGAGACTTTTCTTGTAACATTCAACAACGGTGATGTCAGAGTGGTCAGAGTGAAGGAAATTAAAGATCTTTCAAAATGATTAGGTCCCATACTTAGGTACAAAGGAACGCAATTATGAAATCATCTATCTAAACTCTTAAAACCTTTTTAGTGATCTTCGTTTTTGTTCTGCCTTCCGTAGCTGCTACAGTTCTTTGTCGGAGTATTTTGATTGGACTATTCGTCATTCATGTTTACATTTGTATGGAGACTTGCTTTCATTGTCGTCCATTCCATGCCAAATGGATAGGGGAAACATGGGCTATATGCACCTGCTTTCAGTGCTACATTATATCTTGTGTGGGGCAGAACACTTTGGAATTTTATTGGTCTGTTCATGACCAGTTTCTTAAAATCTCGCCGTATCACACCAACTTAAAGAAAGACATGATAATTTCTCTGTATTAATATTGTAGAATTTATAGCCGTTGCTCTGCAACGATCATGAAATAGGTAATTATATCAGACCTGTTTCTGGGCAAAAAGGCTCGGTACACACGTCCCTGCTGCAACAATTACGCAAGCAAAGGGGGAAGCGGAGTATTGCCTACGCGATCCGTGTCGAAGAGCTATAAAAAGAAGAGAATTGGGGCAACTAGTCACTTGAGCTCTGTGACGGAGGCTGAGGGCAGATGACGCTAGAGTTGAGTTGACAGTTGACAAGAGGCCTGCAAGGACGGTTGTGACAAGAGGACTTGAGCGCATGAAGCTGAAGAATCTTCACTGCTAGAAGCCGTTGCCAGGGAAAACACAGCAGGTTGGAAAGGCTTAGCTGGTGCTGCGGTGATCTGTGAATTATGATGATTACTGATACTGTTGTAATTACTTGTAGGTCAGAGTGGTGCGTATAAGTGGTCAATAAATCCATTCATCAACCCAAACCCAGTCTATAGTTGCACACCCGCAGATCATGACAATATTTATATCTGAGATCGGACTGGACTGTTATTTGCAAATAGAAGAGAAGGATCTTGTCATTTCACTTCGTAGTCTGCATCTCGATGGTGAGAATCCATTCACACAGGATCGCTTAACCTTAACGACGCGTTTCTTCGAAAAGCACGTTCTTCTGTGTTTTCACGTCACGTAGTTAGGACAGATCCCTACATTTCGGAATAGATCACTGTGGTCGCGGTGCAAGGGCCAAGAAAGCCCAATCTTTATACATTCATTCATACATTTCGGAAGAAAATAGCGCTTGTATCTTCAGGGTCAAGAATAAACTAAGCGAGAAACCAGAAAGTTCAGCTTACCGCCTGTTTATGTTGATTGCTTTCTTGGTTTACAAGTCAGACATGAAGATTGAAATAATATGTTCCTCCGAAACTTGATGCCCTCCGACTTACACAGCGTCACAACCCAGAAGAATGCACTCTTCGTAGCCACGGCTCTGAGAACGTCAAATACGTGTAAATCGACTTGTTTCTTAACGGCTGTAGGGAGCCGTTGCACTGACCACGCGACACCCTCTATCCGCAAAAGTTGGCACTAACTTCGCCGATAAGCGGTGGTCGCACGGTTGGTATAATTAACTTGCGGACTAGAGGCCACGGAGTTTTTGTTTTGTTCTTCATTTTCTACTCTGCTGGGCCCAGTCGATAGAGCCAGTCCCTATCTCCGGACACATGTGCTAGCCCCAAGATGGATATAAAAGCCAAACTTTGAAAGGAACAAAGCAAAATATCCCGAAAAGTACCGATAAAGCCAAGACCGTTACACGTTTAGGTTATGGCACAACAATAATAATTTGCAGGTTTGTAGTGAGTAGAATGAATTATTTCCCCATAATTTCGAACTTGCATGTTTTCAGGTACCGTTTCGAAGACTTAACATCTGTTTTTTGTTTACTCTTATTGAAATGACACCGAAATGGGTCATTGAGGAGAATTCTTGGACCGATGAATTCTTGAGTCTGAAAGATTCATGTATATTGATTTTCATAATTTGTACTCCACCAAACATTAGCAGGATGTTGAAATCAAGGAAGATGGGTAGGCGGTACATATAGCACGCATGTAGGAGATATGAATTTTATATATTTGTTAGAAAAGAAGAATTGGGAGACCTGGTTATAGGTGGGAAGAAGAAACTAATACGTGGTTTGAAATGTATGATGATAATGTGGACTCCATTCATCAAGCTCGAAATATGGTAGCTTGGACCACTCTGCTACAAAGAAAATTATCTGGGCTAATATCAGCTTCCAAGAAGAACTGATTAGTTATGTATCCTCATGTTAATACCAAATAGATTCCTAGGCATCCCAGACTACAAGCCTAGGTTTAGTGGACTATAGCAATATGACCCTGCTAACGGTAGCATCAAGCCCATGTCTCCCCTATATTCTGTATCTGAATCCTATGGAAGTTCTTTCAAAAGAGTTCACCGGCCTCTTGGGCGTCCTAATGATGTTACCCGCATCAAAACGCCATCTTCCTTTAAGTCGTCACATCAATGCGATGGTTTTCTCTCCACGTCATATCTGACTCCTTCATTGTCTCTCTGCACAAAAGTATAGAAGCTGACGCCGCCAAACATCGC